CATCCGTCCGTCTGTCCATTATAATTTGTAAACACCATACAGATCACAGTTATGGACCAATCTTCACGAAATTTTGCATGGAGAATGGGTTCTGGCCAATGGCCCCTATTGTTTTTGGTAAAGATCGGTTAAGATTTATGGGATGAACTGGACCAAAAACTTTAATTTTGTCTGATTTTCTGGTAGCTCCAGGGGCCGCAAATATGGCCCAAACATCGCGAATTTTTACATGGAGAAAGGGATCGAGCCAAAGAATAAGCATGTCTGTTTTGATAAAGATCGGTCGGGTCAAATGTACTCTGATCTGATCTTTATCATCGATCTTTTTTATGTAAAAAAAATTACAACATTTGTATTATATAGCGTATATATTTACCCCTGAAGGACATCGATCCGAGATGTTGACACTTCCAAGAGGAAGTGACCTTTAAATTGATACCAATTACAATTATATTGTCGTATGTACTCGGATGTGGGAGTAACACTTAAATATTTACAGATGCTTGCGAATTCAGATATTATTTAGTAACCCCTTACCACACTGAAGGGCTGATCACTTTGAAAATTTCTATGAGGTTCCAGTTATGGTCAAGGACAACGCCTATAATTTTCGGTGATGATCATATAATAATAATATTGGGATGAAGTGGACCGAAAACTTATTTTTTGTGTTTTTTCGAGTCGATTTGAAGCCACAATTGAAAGCCGAACATCACAACACAACCCACGGTGAAGGGAAGCTGGACAAGTAATTAGAAGAGCTGTACTGAATATTAGTAATATCATAATAGCAATATCACGAAATATTGCACAGGCTAGGAATAAAAATCCGCAGAAAGTTAGAGTACCGTGGTCGATCCCGTCCGACTATTCTGCTCCGCTCACTGGTTTGGTATTTTATTGGTTTAATTCGCATTTTCCCACCGATGGAGCTGTATTTTGTTATCCCGGCATTTTGGAGGGTGATCAACATCTTTGTATAGGTTTTTGAATATTTAATAGTCCTCCCGCATATTCGAATTCCTGAACTTCACATCAAAAATTTCAAACCGGAATTTTGTAATTTGAAAAATAAACATATGTTTTTACTTGAGATTAAGATCTATATCTGAGCCATATTTTAAATTGGACCCTTTAATTCAACTATGATTTTGGGCGCCATTTAGAAAATGATTCAGAAGGCTTAAAACATTTTCAGTTTAGTACAAGTATATTTTATTTGATATTAAAATATAAATTTTTTTTAGATATTAAAATGAGTAATTAAATATTTTTTAAATTTTAGACAGAGATTTCTTCTATTCCCGAAATCTAAAAAAAACTCAAAATCAAAGCCTGTGGCAAAAATCTTGGGTTTGCATAGAGAATAACGCCAATGTAAATCAATGTAATGTTACGACCCCTTATTTGTATATAAATTTTAGATTCCTTCAAACTCCGTTGAAAAATAAAATGTCGTAACCAATTGTTTCTTCCATTTATGCCATTAGCCAAAAAATCTCCCTTGATACCCATTTACCAATAGGCAGAGATTATTTAACACACATACATTTACATGTATATCGTGCCAAATATTATGCAAATCAAAGTCACATACATATACCATCAACTCTAATACAAAATGTCATTCCCCGATTGTCATCAGTCGATTCTCATCAATGTTATTGTGACTGTCAACCTACCTGACTGACTGAATGTTTTTAGTTCAACACCTGCGGGAATTTGTTAATAAATATCAATGAACCAAAAGAAAAAAAACAACAACAACCACGAGTAATGAGACTCTAACGAGAGATCATGTAAATGTCTACTCGGCACATAACAATATCAATTACCAGTGGGGGTAACGCTGAGTGGTTGTTACAATACCACCACCAGTGCCAGCGCCACGACCTGGGGTATAGTAGTAGTCGGCAGCCAACAATCGACATACGTTTCCTAATGAATAATGTCAGGTTATTGTATGTCGCTGGCGATATGCATTTAATTAAATAAATATCTCTACTTGCGCTTAATTATTTTGCAATTTTTGTATTGTAATTGGAAATAAAAAAAACAAATATGACAGAATAGATGAATTTCAAAAACATATAAACGTCTTTAAGTTTTAGCGGGTTGAAATTTATGTCCCCTCCAACATGATTTCAAACCCTCCCAATTTTTTGTCAACAGAACGTTTTTTTTTTATTCTCCGAGAAAGCGAAGTACCAAATTATAGACTCAGTTTGGAAAATGTGGTTTTTGACCTTCAACCTACCGAAACTGGTTGAGGGGACCACATGTCGAAACACGGACTCATAATTAAATTTTTTTATGAAGAGATACAAATAAATTACAGGCGCAGACCATTAACCTTAAATTTGTTGGCTTATATGGTTGCAAATTGCGTACCGTACAATGTTTGTTCTTTGAGAAAATTAAATTAAAAGCAATGAGCGGAGCAGTATAGACGGACATGGCCAACCATACGATACCCTACGCAACCACCACGGAACTCTAACTTTCTGCGGATTTTTATTCCGAGCATGGGCAATATTTCGTGAAAGTTTCACCCTCTTGCCCGATTAGAGGTCAACAACACATCTTCCTTGCACTGACATATTTTCCGACTATTACTTATATTCAGTACATCTCTTCTAATTACTTGTCCAGATTCTATTCAACGTGGGTTGTGTTGTGATGTTCGGCTTATAACTGTGGCCTATAGATCGACTCAAAAAAAAATAAGTTTTCGATGCACTTCACATCAAAATTTTTATCTGATCATCACCGAAAATTATAGGTGTTGTCCTTGAAAATAACTGTAACCTCATGAACATTTTCAAAGCGATCAGCGTTATATTTCAGCCCCATTACCCCATGGGTTAATAAACAATATCGGAATACGTAGACACCTGTAAATATTTAAATCTGAGTACATATCAATTTAAATGCGAACCACTCCTCTTGGATATACTATGAACTTATCGGGACTATGTCCTTCAGGAGTAAATATATACGCCATAGAATACAAATTTTGTCAGGGTCAATTTGACCCGCTAAATATTGACCGATCTTCATCAAACCAGGCATGCTTATTCTTTGGCCCTATCCCCTTCTCCATGTGAAATTTCGCGATATTTGGGCCATAATTGCGACCTCTGGAGCGACCAGAAACCCCGACAAAAATTAAGTATTTTGTCATTTCATCCCCTAAAAATATTAACCAAACTTTATCTAAAACAATAGGCCCGAACCCATCTGAGATGCAAAATTTGGCCCATAACTGTGGCCTGTGTCGTGTTTACAAAGTATAATTGACACGCGGACGGACGGACACACATGTCTAGATCGACTAGTTAGTCGAGATATAGCGATCGGTATACTTAAAGGTGGGTCTAGCACCAATTTTTCGCGGCGTTACAAACTCTTGGGGCTGTACAAAGCTATAATACCCTGACAACATAGTTGTGTAGGGTATAAATACAGATTCATGTCGGAAAAATAGATTGAAAACTTCAATATTCCGAATATTAAGCGGGATCTCTATAAAATAAAAAAGGACCTATATTGCAAGGCAAATAAAATCTTCCAAAAAACGTAAATAATGGGAGGTTGATATTTTAAATCGGTTCAGATTTATATGGGTGCTTTAGTGCAACCTATATTTCTTTCTATTTACACGAAATTCGGCATAGCGTTCTGAATTGAGTCTAGATAGATGGATGCCATGTTTTGTGAAAATCGGTTCAGATTTAGATATATCACCCATACATATTTTCTTCCGATTTTATGTGCATCAAGGCAATACGGTATACCGTACTGAATTGAGTCTAGAATGATGTGTGCTAAGTGTAGTGAAAATCGGTTCACATTTAGATATAGCTCCCATATATATTATCGTCCGATTTTATGTAAACGGTGCTTCAAAGCACCTATATTTCTTTTTATTTGCACGAAATTTGGTATAGCGTACTGAATTGAGTCCGGAATGATGTGTGCTAAGTTTTGTGAAAATCGGTTCAGATTTTGATATAGCTCCCATTTATATATTTTCTTCCGATTTTATTTAAATGGTGCACAAAAGCCCCTATATTTCTTTCGATTTAAACGAAATTTGGCAAAGAGTACTGAATTGAGCCTGGAATGATGTGTGCTAAGTTTCGTGAAAATCGGTTCAGGTTATAGCTCCCATTTATATATTTTCTTTCCGATTTTATGTGAATGGTGCACCAAGGCCCCTATATTTCTTTCGATTTGTACGAAATTTTTTATATGTAAATCCCATATATATTCTTTCGATTTAATGTAAAAGGTGCCCTAAATATATACCACAAAAATTATTAGAGAAGGACGTATGTTATATTTGGTTTATATCGATCTTATATATATAACTGTACCTTACAATAAAAATCTTTGGATTATCTTTTATATGGTGAAGGGTATCACATAGTCGGCCCCACCTTTGAACTTTCCTTACTTTTGTTTTTTTTATTTTTTTGGCAAAGGTGACAACTTTTATGGAGGTTTTACACCTCTCTTTACTGTTACTGTAGGTTTTTTGCAATGTTAGAGCACTTTTGGGCAAACCCACATGCTTGGTGTAAAAACGATAAGAGGGCAGGCAACTAAAAAAATATATCAAAAAAATCCATACGCCGCCTTGTGAGCGCCTTTACTGCTCGTGTATGTGAAACAAAGACAAAAATAACAAAACTGTTGCATTTAACGAATTGACAGATACTTAATTTACGCTTTATCGGAACCGAGCAAAGGCCAACGAGTAGTGAACGAACAAGCGAAACGACAAGCAGTGGACAAAACGACAAAAACAAAAAAAAAACAATAATGCCTGCCTGGACCAGGTGATCAAATAACCAAAGATTTATGACACAGCCACGAGCATGAAATATTGAAAAACATAAAACCTGAATAACTGAAATTCTCCACAAAAAAGAAAAGAAACTGAAAATAGGTTGATATTTATTTATAAAGTTGTTGGTGTTTTTCTGTTCTTGCAGGTCGACCCCAGCCCTGGTGGTGTCGCAACAATCGTGGCAGCGGCAGTGGTGGCGGTACAAACGGCCGTGGGTCCCTTTCGGCCAAGCACTCAGCCGATAGCATACGAAGACCCACCAGCAATTCGGGTGTCTGGACCTGGTTGGGTGGCAGCCGACGTTCATCGGAGGGACCCGATCAAATTGGGCCACCCTCCTCATCACCGGCTGAGAATCATTATACCCACATGGATGATGCCTATAGTCCGGTGGGTGTTAGTGAGGCTTTGTATGCTGAATTGGATAGGGAATCAGTGCGCTCCAATAATCCCTCATATCAGAATACCGGCTATAGCCAGTGTGGAGATGTAAGTAAAATTTTTCTTTAACATTTTTTTTTTTTTTTTTTTTGTTAATTATTTCTCTTTTTTTTTGGTTACAGAAATACACCTTCCATCAACAGGATCATGATTTGCCCATTGTGGTATCCTCGGCCCCCAGCAGTGCTTACTATTCTGATCTCTCGGTAACCGGGGTACCGGGTGGTGCCGGCAATGAACGTGCCTATGAAATTGTTGGCCTCACAGTTATGAATCAACCCTTGCCAAACTGGGATGGCAGTGGTGGCGGGTCCACAGCTGTAAGTTCTTCTTCGACGGCCGCGGGAACAGGCACCTTTTTAGCCGGCACCCTGGGTAGCAATGGTGAGGGTATGGCCTCACAACGAAGAATTCCCCGTTTGGCAGCCATCAATGAGACCAGCACAGCAACGGTGCCCTCTGATTATGTATGAAACGAAGAGTATGTGTGTGAAGATGTGGTATAAAATGTCCAACACCAACACACACACACATACACATTTATATATGTATTTTTAAAAAAATGAAGAAGTCAATTTCAAAGAAGATCTAAATTATGATTTGTAATAAAAAAACCGAAAACTATTTTTAAATCAAACAAAAATATTTTTGAAAAGAGAAAGTTTTGAATTCAGAATATGAAAAATTTTGAAAAAGACGTGCTATTGTTGGCTAATAATTTTTGTAAATTTCTTTTGTGTATATTTCACGTTTATTCACAATCTCTAGAATTAAAATTTTTCTTTGAAATTCCCTAGAATGTTTTATGAAAAATTATTTCCCAGCTTCAGGAATTTTTTATGTCTTTGTGCATATGTTTGTAACAGGCAAAAGGAAACGAGATAGACACATGGTTCCTATTTGAGATTATGCATAGAATCATTTTTTAAGTCGATTTATGCATGTCCGTCCGTCTGTAGATGTTAAATTGTAAACAAAGTACAGGTCGCATTTATGATCCGATTTGGATGAAATTTGGCACATGTCACTTATTTGACTCAAGGACGAACCCTATTGAAATAGGTGAAAATCGGTGCAGATTTAGATATAGGTCCCACATATATTTTCGTCCGATATAGGCACTAAAGTCCCTATATATCTTTCGATTTGCACGAAATTTGGTATAGCGTACTGAATTAGGTCCAGAATAATGTGAAAATCGGTTCAGATTTAGATATAGCTCCCATATATAATTTTGTCCGATTTTATGTAAATGGTGCACCAAAGTCCCTATATATCTTTTGATTTGCACAAAATTTGGCATGTCGTACTGAATTAGATCCAGAACGATGTGTGCTAAGTTTCGTGAAAATCGGTTCAGATTTAGATATAGCTTCCATATATAATTTTGTCCGATTTTATGTAAATGGTGCACCAAAGTCCCTATATATATTTCGAATTTCACGAAATTTGGCATGTCGTACTGAATTAAGCCTGCAATGATGTGTGCTAAGTTTCGAGAAAATCTGGTCAGATTTAGGTATAGCTCCCATATATATTTTCGTCCGATTTAATGTAAATGGTGCACGAAAGTCCCTATATATCTTTCGATTTGCACGAAATTTGGCATTTCGTTCTAAATTAAGTGTAGAAGGATGTGTTTTAAATTTCCTGAAAATCGGTTAAGATTTAGATATAGCTCCCATATGTATTTTCGTCCGATTTAATGTAAATAGTGCATCAAAGTCCCTATATATTCTTCGATTTGCGCGCAATTTGGCATAGGGTACTGAATTAGGTCAAGAATGATGTGTGCTAAGTTTCGTGCACCAAAGTCCCTATATATCTTTTGATTTGTACGAAATTTTGCATATGGTACTGAAGTAGATCCAGAATGATGTGTGCTAAGTTTCGTGAAAATCGATTCTGATATATATATTTTCGTCCGATTTTATGTAAATGGTGCACCAAAGTCCCTATATATATTTCGATTTGCACAAATTTTGGGATGTCGTACAAATTTAAGCCTGGAATGGTGTGTGCTAAGTCTCGAGAAATCTCTGGTCAGATTTTGGTATAGTTCCCATATATATTTTCGTCCGATTTAAGCAAAATGGGCCAACAAAGTCCCTATATATCTTTCGATTTTAACGATATTTGGCATGGCGTACAAAATTAAGTCTAGAATTATGACGAACCTGAAAATAGGTTCAGATTTTCATATTGCTCAAATATATATTTTTGTCCGATTTAATGCAAATGTTGCTCCAAAATCCCTATATATGTTTCGATTTCCACCAAATTTGGCACAGCTTACTGAAATGAGTCTAGAATGAGGTGTGTTTAGTTTCGAGAATATCGGTTCAGATTTAGATATAGGTTCCACATATATATATTTTCGTCCGACTTTTTCGGATTGACACGAAATTTTGAAATTATTTTTTATAAAAAAAATTATTTAAATTTATCAGAACTGTTTTTTTTCTAAAAAGATTGTGAATATACAAAATTGAGATATATTTTGACAAATAGCCAATTAAAATTTCTTTAAAGGAAACTTACAACAAAAACAAAAAACCTTGTCTGAGTAACATAAAACAATGAGCTTATTTTTATAAATCTAAAATACAAAAACTTGATATGTTTTTTTTCTTTGGGAGCGGATACAGGAAAAAAATAACTTTATCTAAAATATATGTAAAACATATTAAAAACAAAACAAAAATATATCCCAATAAAATGTACCCACAAAAAAATAAAGAATTTTAATTTTATAAAAAAAATTTAAATAAAAAAATATTTTAAAAATTTTAAGAAAAAAATAAAACGATTTTCTAAAAATCGTTGGTGATATATAGACTTTAAATTCTAAAAATAAATATATACAAATAAAAAATATATATTAAAATTGTAAAACATAAAAATGTTTAAAAATTACCATTAATTATAAAACAAAACACCGAAATATATATACAACAAATAAAAATAAATTTTTTAATTAGTTATATAGTTAAGATATACGAATATGTTGTTCGTTAATTTTTGGTTTCAAATTATATATTAAGAATTTACAATTTTTTTTTATTTTTTAGAAATTAAGGTGTTGTATATTCAATTTATTTCTTTTATTTCTTATATAATGCATTAACCTACAATTACTTTTTTTTAAGTTTTAATTAGTTATTATTTTCTGTAATTGAAGCCTTAGCATGTAAGTAGTTGAAAAGAATTTAAAAAAAAATCGAATTCAAATATTTATAAAATACAAAAATGATATATATTTTAGATGTAATAATTAAAATATTAAACAAAAATCATGGCAAATAAAAACAAATACCCCACACATTAAGAATTTCAAATAAAATACAAAAGAAAACAAGTACTTTCATATTTACAATGGCAAACGAATTCACACATCTTTTTTGAAAGAAAAAAAAAGCAAAACAAAACGTAAAAAACAATCATATATAATAAAAAATAAATAAATATTGTTATATACATATTCATATTATTATTATTATTTATCACAATACTTTGTATTTAGAAAACGAAAAAATTAAAATAAACCAAGAATTTTTCAAAGCAAATTATTTATACAACAATCACAAACAAAAGAAAAGGAAACAACAATGTCGAAAAGAAACAAAAAAAAATAAGTTTTAAGAAAATATAAAATAAATAGATGAAAAAAAAAATAAATATTTACAAGAAATAAAAATAAATTGAGTTTTAACTTAAACAAAAAACCAGTGAGCGGAGCAGTATATTCGGACGGGGCCGACCATATGATACCCTACACAACTTCCACGAAAATCTAACTTTCTGTGGTTATATATATTGAGCATGGAAAATATTTCGCTATATTTACACCCTCTTGACCGACTAGAGGTCAACAAATATTACTAATATTCAGTAAATCCTTTCTAATTGCTTGTCCAGTTTCCCTTCACGGTGGGTTGTGTTATGATGTTCGACTTTCAATTGTGGACTATATATGGACTAGAATGAACACAAAAAATTAAGTTTTCGGTCCACTTCATCCCAATATTATTATGTGATCATCACCGAAAATTATAGGCGTTATCCTTGACCATTCCTGGATCCTCATGGAAATTTTCAAAGCGATCCGCGCTGTATTTCCGCCTCCAGTATGGTAATGTGTTACTAAATAATATCTGAGTACGTAAGCACCTGTTAATATTTAAATGTAACTCCCGCATCCGAGTACATACGACAATATAATTGGTATCAATTTAAAGGTCAACCACTCCTCTTGGATATACTATCAACTTATCGGCTCTATGTCATTCAGGATTAAATATATAAGCAATAGAATACAAATTTTGTCATTTTTCACACAAAAGTTAGGGTCCATTTGACCCGCTAAATATTGATCGATCTTTATCAAAACAGGCATGCTTATTCTTTGGCCCAATCCCCTTCTCCATGTAGAAATTCGCGGTGTTTGGGCCATAATTGCGGCCTCTAGAGCGACCAGAATATCAGACCAAAATTTAGTTTTTGGTTCATTTCATCCCCTCAATATTAACCGATCTTTACCAAAAACAATAGGGGTCTTCATTGGCCAGAACCCATCCTACATGCAAAATTTCGTGAAGATTGGTCCATAACTGCGGCCTGTATCGTGTTTACAAATTATAATGGACGGACGGACGGACACACACATGTCTAGATCGACTCAGCTAGTCGAGATATGACGATCGGTATACTTAAAGGTGGGTCTAGGACCAATATTTCGCGGCGTTACAAACTCTTGGGGCTGCACAAAGCTATAATACCCTGACAACATATTTGTGTAGGGTATAATCATTGAGTACAGAAGGATCGAGACATATGATATATTGTCAGAGGTATTAACTAAAATATGTTTATGTCTTAAGTATTTTGTTTTTATTTAAGGGAAAAACTCTTTAGGCCAAAGAACAAATGATTATTTATTATTTATTCTTTTAAAAATCCACGCCTATTGGTGTAATGATCTATGAAAAAATATTCTTTTAAAAATCCACGCCTATTGGTGTAATGATCTATGAAAAAATATTCTTTTAAAAATCCACGCCTATTGGTGTAATGATCTATGAAAAAATATTCTTTTAAAAATCCACGCCTATTGGTGTAATGATCTATGAAAAAATATTCTTTTAAAAATCCACGCCTATTGGACTGATGATCCATGAAAAAATATTCTTTAAAAAATCCACGCCTATTGGTCTGATGATCCATGAAAAAATATTCTTTAAAAAATCCACGCCTATTAGTCTGATAATCCATGAAAAAATATTCTTTAAAAAATCCACGCCTATTGGTCTGATGATCCATGAAAAAATATTCTTTAAAAAATCCACGCCTATTGGTCTGATGATCCATGAAAAAATATTCTTTAAAAAATCCACGCCTATTGGTCTGATGATCCATGAAAAAATATTCTTTAAAAAATCCACGCCTATTGGTCTGATGATCTATGAAAAAATAT